GCCCCATTCCCTGAACCCTGGCTCAGGTCCAACCCCAAACCCTGGAATGTTCAAGATCCCGCAGCCCCTCTCCCTTCCCTAAGAGAGGGCAGGGCACCCTGGGGGCCCTGCATGAGGGGGCTCAGGGCGGGTGGGCCTGGAGGCTGCCTGAGAATGGGCAACAAGGCAGAGGTCCGAGTCCCCACCGGCCCCCCAGGAGAGGCAGCCAGGAAGCAGGACAGCCCTGGGCCCTGGAGTCCGATCTCCACTTGATGGGCCCATGTGGCCTGGGCAGGCAGGAGGAGGTGCTGAAGCTATGGGGTCGGGCCCAGGGAGCGGGGGCCCTGCCTTCCTTCCTCAACACACGGGGCTGCCCAGGCCCCACTCCTGGGGCCCGGCCCACACCCCACAGATGCCCGCCTCAGACGCCTCCAAAGTCAGAGAAGCTCCAAGTCAACTGGCTGTGGATGGCACAAGGGGGGACCAGGGGGCCGGGCTGGAGGCCAGGATGGCTCGGCCCCAGTGAGAGCCCCAGCAACACCGCAGCCTGCTCTGTATGCGGCTCTGGCTGGGCCCCACCCTGTACCCTATGACAGCCTCAGGGTGGGTAGCTCAGGTGTCACTATTCTTGACTTCCTTGGAGCAGAAATGGACACAGGGCTTTGGGCATGTGATAACCAGCACACGTTCCCAAGCCCACAGCACAGGCTCCCAAGCACACAGCTCAGCAGCCCCCCAGCCTTGCAGCCCCTCCAGAGAGCAGCCTGCACTTCCTAGCAGAGTCCAGAGGTGCCTGCTGGGGGGACCTCAGGACCTGAATCCCCCACACCTTAGAGACATGAACCTGGAGCCGGGGAGGCCTCACAACTCCAGACCCTCACTGGCTGGCTGGACCTTTCAGACCCAGCCTGGCCACCCAGGAGGACTGACCAGGACCTCCTCCTGGGCTCCTTCTTCCTAGGTTTCTTCAGGGGCTGCAGGCACCCACCCCCAGACAGGAGCCAGGCCTTGGGGACCTGACTCTTCCTCTAATGCCTCCCCTAAGGTCACCAAGACATCACAACCTCCCTGACCCCACCGAAACCCCTCTCTTCCACCTGGCTGGGCCACACCTGTCCTTGGCACAGAGATTGTCAGCAATGAGTAGAAGTGCTTCCTTGACATGGTTTACAAGGAGACACAATGCCTGCTCCAGGCTCCTGGGTGGCCCACTGTGACTTCCAGTATATCTCAGGCTATCCCTGACCCTCTCAGAGCCTGGGTCACCAGCCTCCAAGGGCAGACATCACAGAGGCCATCAGGCCCATAGAGGAAGGCAGAGGGAACATTCTGCCTTGACATGGGTACTCTCAAATGAGAGCAACCCCACATCGCCGACAGGTGGCCCTCAGCCCTGGGAGGACAGGGAGGAGGGCTCAGATACTGGTCAGAGCCTGCAGGATGCCTATGGCATAGAGCTCCAGGCCTGGGGCCCGTTACCAGATGCCCTGTTCACAGGAGCCCTGTCCCACCCCCTCCACCAAACCCAGGCCAGACACCTCCTGAAGTCCCCAAGGCCTCAGCCCCCTGGCCCTCAGCCCCCACGGGCTCAGAGGGTTGGCACTAGGGGCTGAGAGGGCAGAAAGCCAGGAATTCTGGAAGGCTGGGGGAAGCCTCCAGAGTTTTATTTTCTCATGTTTCTTCCAAACATTCTGCTGATCCTCAAAATGGCAAAAGCCAAGATGCTCAAATTTTAAAGCCCAACAGCTGATAACAAAAATCAGTAATATTTAGGGGCTGGCCCCATGGCCGAGTGGTTAAGTTCATGCCCTTTGCTTCGATGGCCTAGGCTTTCGCCAGTTCGGATCGTGGGCACAGACCTAGTACTGCTCATCAAGCCATGCTGAGGTGGCATCCCACATGCCACAACTAGAAGGACCCACAGCTAAAATATACAACTATGTACTGGGGGCTTTTGGGAAGAAAAAGGAAAAATAAAAAATAAAATATTTTTTAAAAAATCAGTAATTTAGAAACAAATTTTAGTAAATTCATGTGTCTGAATAAATCATGCTTTTAGATTTAACATAAAATGTGTTAACATTTATATGCATGCCAAATTGTATTACTTTAGAGCATTTAAAAAAAAAGCAGAGGGGTCTGTCAGCTAAGCTGGTGGTGTCCAAATTCTCCTTTCACCACAGTGGGGTCACTGGCCTGCCCCCCCCACCTAGGGTGTCAGTGTCACTTTTGGTTTGGGCACTTCAGGCAATACTGATGGTTGGTCCAGGATGTGTGGGGCTCCCATGTGCTGCCAAGGCCTCCTCACAGACCTCCATGTGCTGCGTACCCGGACCACCAAGGCCACCAGTCCCCCATGCCGACCCTCTGGGCCCCTTCACTGCTGCAGGGCCAGGGGCCCCCTTCTCTTCCACTTACCCTCCATGCCTGGGCATGGCAGATATGATAGTGTCACAGAGAATTTAACTTGCTCTAAAAAGCCCCCCACCCTCCCACCTCCAGTCAAATGTAAATCGAAAGGAAGGACCCAGACCCAGAATGACTGCCTGCCAACCCCACCCCCAGGAACATGTTGGTGCTTCAGTGGAGGGACTCAGGAGGCAGGCTGCTCCTCCTGGGCTGTCTTTTTCCCAGCTCCTCAGACACCCCTCAGCCCAGGGTGAGGTGTTAGGGGCACACTTGACTCCCCTGGGCCAGGCCAGAGGGACTGGATGAGGGAAAGGAGTCACCACCCACTGGCTGGGAACACCACGTGAAGAGAGAGCAATGACTTGCAGACTGTATCCACAGCACCATCCATCCATCCCAAGTCACTAAGCCTGTCCTCCCCCGACATCTAATTCATCTCCAAACACACTGGTTCCTTCCTCCAAAATAGCAGCACCGTGGATCTGTTCCCTTCTCTTCCTTGCTGCACCTACCTGTTCAGACAACGTCTGGGGCCAAATGCACCTTCCCTCTGAGACAAGAACCAGCCTAATGAGACAGGGACATCTGCAAGGCCCCTGACCTAACAAGATAAGACCCCTAACCAATTGGTAAGCTAGGAGGATCAGATAGAGGCCATCAAGATCCACATTCTGCAACCTCTGGACTTTCCTGGGCTCACGCATGCACCCTAGCACCCAAGAGTCCACTGAGGGTGACCTTAGCCCCATTAGCATAGTAAAATTCACACCCGGGGTGGAGAGCTAGCATGCTAATGATACATGCATCGCATGCAGTGGCATGCTACATGACAGTGCAGGCGCAAGCACAACCCCACCTCTACATGCCATGACAAGGCATTCCTCCCCAACCTTTGCCTAATAAAAAGCCTCACAATCTCGTTCCCTAACCAGCCAGTCACCTGCCCCTTTCTGCACTGGCTCCCTCGTGCCTCTCCTGTGCACAAGCTAATAAACTTTCATTTTGCTACTCTCGTTTGTTGTCTCTCTTGATTTCTATCCTGGGGGACAATAAGAACCCAGTGTGCCTTAACAGCTCCTCTCACTAATAGTCATGGAGCAGCGACTGCCTGCCAGGCACAGGTGGGGACGCGGGAGGCACAGCGGTGAACAAACCCGGCAAGCTTTGGGCCTCTCAGCGCCGGGTTTTACTCCAATGGCCTTCTGCCCGGGCCCGGCACCCTCACCCCTCCTTCTGCCTTTGCCAGAGGCTCTGACAGTGCCTCCTTGCCTGCACTGTCTACCGGCCGGGGGATGAAGCTGACGCCGTATCTTGCGCATCCTCCATGTCCTCCCACTGCTGAACTCCACCTTCCTCGCCCTGGCCTGCGAGCCACCGCACTGGCTGCACTGGCTTCCCTTTGCTTCTTCCAACGAGCCTCCACGCCTTTGCACCTGCTGTTTCCTCTGCTGGGCTCGCCCTTCAACTCGGAGCTCAGATACAGTGTCACCTCCTCGGAGATGCCTCCCCTTCTGCACCTTGTCTTCTACCCCGACTTTTGTTCCCCGCTTTCTGGCCGCAGTGCCGCCTGTATTGTCGACCTGGCCAAGCTCCGCCGGAGCAGAAGCCGCATCCATACGGTCACCCCGCACACCAAGCTTGGTTAAACCGCACGAACCCATCCCCGCGCTGGCCCTGCCCGCAGAGCCGCCTCCGCCTGGCGGGCCCCCACGGCAGGCCGCCAAAGGCCGCAGCGCCCGCGCGACCCTCCTCTGCCACCGCCCTGCCGCCCTGGGCGCGAAGCAGCCGAGTCAGGAACTTCCCGACCCGGCTGCAGCCAGGCCAGCGACGAGGCCAGAACGCCCGCGCACGGAGAGGGGCGGGGCCGCGTTAACCCTCTCCACGCCTGCCGAGAGCCGCCCACGCGGCGCGCCCCTCCCGGCCCGAGCGAGCCCCACGAGTTTGCCGACCCCCTAAGGCGCGCGGCCAGCCCGGGGCAGCCCTAGACCTCCCTCCCAGAGTACACGCCCTCGACACCGCTCGCCACAAACCGCCTTGGCCCTTTAACACTCTCCTCGCTCGCGCCCATTGGCTGAGGCGCTACGTCATCGCTGCGCGCCGCCAGCGGCGCCTTCCCGCTCCCTAACCCTGACGACAGAGCGGCGCCGGCCTCAGCGGCTGAGGAAAGCGGGAGGAGTTCGCGGCGGCGGGAAGATGTAAGTTGGGAGAATCCGACCCCATCCGAGCTACGGGGGCCGCCTGCCAGGCTTGGCGGGACGCACCGTGAAGCTGACCCGCTCCCTGACTCGGCGGTGGGGGCGGCGCCCCGGCGGCGCGGCGCGGGGTCTGAGAAGAAAGAGTGTGGCCCGGGGCGGGAGGAGTGGGAGGCGCCGAGGCCGCGGCCCGGAAGTGGTCGGGGCGGCGGCGGGCGGAAGGGCGCCCTCGCTTCGTCCGCTCTGCGGCGGGCCCAGTAAGGCCCGCGGGACTCGGAGCAGCGGCGCTCGGCTTCCGCCCTCGGGGTTCTCTCACCGGGCTGGAGACCCAGGCCCGCAACGCCAGGCCCCGCCCTGGAAGCGCCCGCGGCCCGGCGCCTGGACGGGGGAGTTGTGAGTGAACGCGGACCGGGGTGCGAGGTCGCGTGCGGGGCCCGTGCCGGTGGGTGCGGACTTGCTTTGTGGGATGGCTGCCGTGGAAGACCGGCTGATCCTCCTTTCGGGCCGTTAATTCACACGCTCACTCCCCGAACGTTTGCCGGGCCCCTGAGTGCCGTTCTCGGTGCTAGTCGTCAGGGACACGGCCCCTAATGTCGCGGAGCTCAGTGTGACGGGCTGCCCCAGAAGGGAGGAGGCGGCAAGGTTCAAATCAGTGGAGGAGAGACGTGGCTTGTTCTCTCTCTGTTATTTCGCATGAACTGTGCCTAGAGTGTACTTTTACGTGGGGAAGGTGCTGTGAAGATGTGAGCTGCAACGCCATCTGCTCGAGATTTAACTCTTTGTTCTCTCCTCTCTCTGGCTGTTGGACGCGCACCTTTCCGGAGGATGGGGGAGGTAACCAATAACCAAGGTCCGGTGCTGTTACGTGAACTTGTGTGAGCAGAGAGCCTCAACCTTTGCTTTCTAGCCCTCGGCCCCACCCGGCAAAGTGTTCGCTTGCTTCGTGGTTCTTAATTTGTAGAGTGTTTAAGAATAACCGGGGGTGCTTGTTTTCACAAAGTACATTCAGGCAGATCATTACGACTGGGGTGGGGGGCCCAGGAGTCTGCACTGTAGGTCAGCACTGTTCAATGAGGTAGCCATAGGCCCCCTGTGGCTACTGAGCCCTGGAAATACACCTAGCCCAGAGAGAGGTTTAGAAGACTTGGTATGGGGGGGGGGGGGGTGTAAATATTTTGTAAATAAGTTTTTGTACTGATTATATTTTGAAAAGGTATTTGGGGTATAGTGTGGCAAATAAATACATTACTAAAAGTTCATTTGATCTGTTGACTTCTACTTTTTGTAATGTGACTACTAGAAAACTTTAGGATGTCCTCTATTCCTATTGGACAGTGGTGCTCTTGGTGCTCCTAATAAGGGCGGTCCAGGGACTCCAGATGAGCATTCAAAGATCATGTGTGACTTTGGAGGCAAGAGTTTCTGTGGGGAAAGAGTCTCCAAACATGGAAAAACATCCTTTTATTCCAATGTTAGCTGATATTTATTGAGCCTTAACTATGTGCCAGATCTCTTTCGTGGGTTAATTTGGTTAATGTCCTCGATAATTATAAAGTGTAGGAGCTGTAATTGTCACCATAATGCTGCTGGTGAGAAATTGAGGCTCAGAAAGATTAAGATTGAAATTATCCAAGGTCACACAGTGAAGCCTTGAATCAAACCCAGGCAGGCTGACTCCAGACTCCTAACCACTGGCTTGTACTCACTGATTGTCCAACGACGCTAAATTTTATCAGGTGTTGCCTGGTCGGTGTCTGTAGTACCTTATTATTTTAAGGTAAACATCTTAAAAGATTTTACAGCCCTGCAAAAGAGCAGCAAAAATGCTGTTCTTCTCTCATCCAGTCTCATGTGATTGTCCAAAGCTGGGTGCTTTTTGTTGAGTCAGAACGTTCATTCAGCATTTTGGGCATGCCTACCAACATGGAAACAAGATCCCCATTGGCATGCTGTGTCCAGGTTGCTTACGGGCTATGGAGAAGGTGAGGCAGAAGTCGTTGAGGCTAATATCCTGAGGTCTTTGCTTACAACTCAGGCAATTTGTACAGGATCTCATGGGAAATACTGAAGGCAGGCTGTGCCCAGGAAACACGGGGCATGTAGCGAGTAGTTGGTTCTTGTATTTACTAATGACCATTTATTGTGCACTTGCTGCGGTCCAGGCACTTTACTAAACCCTGACGTGCACTGTCTCATCCAATTCCAGTACCTACTTTTTCCTCCAACATTTTATTTTTGAAAAAGTGTAAACATGCAGAAAAGTTGAAAGAATTGTACAGTGAATACCCACATAACCACCACCTGGATTCTACAAGGCATATTTCTGCCATATTTGCTTTATTATATATCTAGCCTCCCATCAATCTTATTTTCATTTCAAAGTAAATTGCAGACTTTGGTATACTTCCCCCATTACACATCCATGTACATATTATTAAAGTTGAATATTTGCAATGACTATTTTTTAACACCTTATTTTGCTGCTTTTCAAAAGTTCATATACTATATCTTACCTGTCTGCTTTGGATATTAAGTGTTTTAATGCTGGTACCAGTTACTTTTGAAATGGTTTTTGCTTCTAGTCATATCGTATATCCAAAGTATCCTACAAGGAAATTCCAGCAATGAAACAAGAGGTCTGATCCTTTCAGTGGTCCTGTCGGGGAGCCACACACAAATTTTTCTCTGTCCTGCATGAGTATGTGCTACAGTATTTCTAAGGGACTAGAGTGCTTATCGTCAAACTTAGGAGTGAAAGACGGGTATTGTATCACATGTAAAATACCAGTGATGGGTACCACCACCATGTCCTTCAGAAAAATACAAGATGAGTTCTACCTGTGTGTCCTGTGCGGGGCGGGGGGGGGGGCTCCCTAATGTTCCTGGCTTTGTGGACACTTGCTGCTTAGTGTACTCCTTGCCACCTTCTCATGTGCTCAGCGTTTGACTGCAAAGTAGATTTGTTGCCTTGCCAATTCATTCACTCTGTAAATCCTTTTATCTTGTTATTAGGCTGCACTTTGGCGTAAATTGCAATCGATTAGGGATCGTTTCTCAGACTCGAGTTAGAAGTGAGAGTTCAGATAAGTGAGGCCGCCATTGCTGCTTTGAACACCTCAGAAGGGGAGAATGGATTTATCAGGAGTGAAAAAGAAGAGCTTGCTAGGAGTCAAAGAAAATAATAAAAAGTCCAGCACTAGGTAATCCTTCTGTCAGATTTTTCTAGTGCTACTTTGGGGGTGCTCATTCCAAAGACCCTCAGAAAGGGGAAGATTGGAAATGTCTTGCATTCTACAGTGAAAGGGTCCTAAGCCACAGATCATTTTGCTCTGTGATCACCTGGGATCCCTATAGCCCTTTGGATCCCCTCTTGGGTTGTCCTGTTGTTTCAGGGTTCAGTCAAAGGGGCATGCGATCTCATACTCTTCCTCACCATCCAGGGCTCCTTCTCCTACCAAACGCAAAGACCGCTCTGATGAGAAGTCCAAGGATCGCTCCAAAGATAAAGGGGCCACCAAGGAGTCAAGCGAGAAGGATCGTGGCAGGGATAAAACTCGAAAGAGGCGCAGCGCTTCCAGTGGTAGCAGCAGCACCAGGTGGGGCTGGTAGGGTAGAGGTTGAGAGGGCCTCGCGTCCACAGCCACACCCCGCTGCCTTCCCAAAGAGCCCGCGGACTGCTCTGTCTTAATTTTTTTTTTTTCCCCTTAAGATTTTAGGGTCGGCTCCATGGCTGAGTGGTTAAGTTCGCGCGCTCCACTTCGGCGGTCCAGGGTTCAGATCCTGGGCGCAGACATGGCACCACTCGTCAGGCCATGTTGAGGCGGCGGCCTACATCCCACAACTAGAAGAATATGCAACTAAGATATACAACTGTGTACAGAGGGGGTTTGGGGAGATAAAGCAGAAAAAAAAAAGATTGGCAACAGTTGTTAGCCCAGGTGCCAGTCTTTAAAAAAAAAATGATTTAATTTTTCCTTTTTCTCCCCAAAGCCCCCTGGTACATAGTTGTATATTTTAGTTGTGGGTCCTTCTAGTTGTGGCATGTGGAACGCCACCTCAGCGTGGCCTGATGAGCAGTGCCATGTTTGCGCCCAGGGTCCGAACCAGTGAAACCCTGGGCCGCTGCAGTGGAGCACATGAACTTAACCACTCAGCCACGGGACCGACCCCTGTCTTAATTATTTATTTATTTAAAAAAACACCCTCTGATTGTTCATAGAGATCCTAATTTATGGCAAACTGGCTTGGGGTTTGCTCTGATTATGTATAAAAGATGGTGTCTGGGTTTTCTTTTCTAGAGATATTAAGGAATGGGACATCTTGGGGTATGTTTTTCTCTCCAGTGCTTCTCAGAATTGTAACTGGATTGCCTTAGCCAAGAGCTTGTTTTTCCTTTGGTTGAAAACCAGCCTGCGTCAGTCAGTAGCCGCCTTCCAAGCTGAGTTGGTTCTAACTTGTCAGGCTCCTCCTTTACCTCCCGGTAGGCAAGGCTTCTGCATAGGTGGAAAGCAGCTCATTCCTCCTTTCCTGTCACTGTGCCATGTGAATGCTGTTTTCTGTCCCCACGTAGGGCTTTGGCTTGGGAGGGACAGGTTGAATGTTTTCCCCACTGGGGAAGGCAGTGAGGCTTGAAAATATGAGGACAGTGGTTTCCTCTTCTTGGGAGCATGTGCAAGCTTGTTCCGTACTGTGAAGAAATGCTGCTCCCACTTGCTCTTGTCCGTGACCCCCTCCATCTCGCCCCTCAGGTCTCGGTCCAGCTCTACCTCCAGCTCGGGCTCCAGCACCAGCACAGGCTCGAGCAGTGGCTCCAGCTCCTCTTCGGCATCAAGCCGCTCAGGAAGTTCCAGCACATCCCGCAGCTCCAGCTCCAGCAGCTCCTCTGGTTCTCCAAGTCCTTCTCGGCGCCGACATGACAACAGGCGGCGTTCCCGCTCCAAGTAAGCTCTCCTCCAGCACTGCTTCTCTGCCCAGCGTGGCTTGTTTCAGAGGGATCTCCCCCAACACTGGTGCATTATCTGGGAACTTAATGGGGGCTGTAAAGTTAGCACAGTTATTATATAAGTAGCCCAAAGAAGAAGCCTTTCTGTCAAATAGGATTTCTGAGACAGTGATAATGTACGTGAACTGGCAGGAAAAGCTTCCTTATAAAAAGCTGTCACACTAGCAGTTAACATCACTACTAAAAAAATTTTGACTTGGCAGAAATTGATTGTTTCCGGTGTTTTGTTTTTTCAATCAGATCCAAACCACCCAAAAGAGACGAAAAGGAAAGGAAAAGGCGGAGCCCTTCCCCTAAACCCACCAAAGTGCACATCGGGAGACTCACCAGGAATGTGACCAAGGTGGGAATCTCGAATCTATCCAGTAGAAGGGGTAGGGAAGACGGGTGTCTTTTGCAGATTTTTAGAATAGCAAAGTGTGGAAAAGCAGGCCCCTCTGCCAGAAAGTGAACTTTATAGCCTTTTGCAGCACTGACATCATAGTTTGTGATTCAAGTAGGGCACTGATTAATTCCTTTTAATGGAATAGACTATATATTTGTCCAGGAGATTGACGCCAAATGCCGAGATTGTAGTCAGTATGTGGTGAATTCTCTTTGACTCTTAACGTAAGTGATTGCTGAGTGAGCGTTAGAGTGACCCTTCTTTCCCTCTAGGATCACATCATGGAGATATTCTCTACTTACGGGAAGATTAAAATGATTGACATGCCTGTAGAAAGGATGCACCCCCACCTGTCTAAAGGCTATGCATACGTGGAGTTTGAGAATCCAGATGAAGCCGAGAAGGCGCTGAAGCACATGGACGGAGGTGGGTGCCCCTGCCAGCACTCCTCTGTCCCCTGTCCAAGACCAGCTGCCCGCCACACGTAGGGACCTTTAGAACCAATTTCCAACCTGGCTGCACGTCAGAATCTCCCTGGTGCTCTTTCAGGATCCAGTTCTTATTCACTGTGTGTGTGTTCACCAAAAACATGTTTTGTGGAACGTTGTTCTTGGGGAAAAAAGTTGAGGAAATATAAAGATATTAGCATTTTAAGAATTTTTAAATCTATTATAAGCTTAAGGATCAAATGAAGGTTTTTTTAATAAGAAATATATTATGGACATAATGAAGCATTTGGCTTTTATATGGGAATGTTTCCTTTAATCCTCTCTGAGAGTCATTTTCTGTTTTGCTAAGATTTCAGCATTTTTAGGATTGCTTTGTGAATTCACAAATTTTACCCATTTCCCAAAAGTTTGTGACTTAACTATTTATGACATTTATAGCCATTTGTATTGGGCAGAATGGTTCTAACAACATTTGAATATTTGTGAATAGTTTGCGTGGCCAGTTTTCGTTTTGTCTTCAAGTCCACATTTTAAGGAGCGTGGTGTTTCTCTCGGCCCCAGCTCGCTGCCTGCTGTAATTCAGGCAGCTGGGACTGGGAGCCAGGACTACCTACCCACAGCACTGTGGGGGCTGCCGCGCCAAGTAGGGAAGAGAATCTAAACACCTCAGAACCTTGGACTCCTTGGAGGCCCTGTTATACACTTGACAAATAGCTTGACAGTTTTTTGGGTAATTGCCCTCAAGCCCTGGTAGAGTTTGGATACTAGGAAATTTTCCTTCATACTTCGGTAACTGTTTGAATCTACTTAAATCCCTCGGAAGTGTTTTAGGAGCTCAGCATAAACTACAGTCCGTCACGTTGCACACATCAGCTCTGAGTCTTGTGAATGACTTCTTCGTTTCAGAGACTGTTGCTCATGTGTATTTGAGCACTTGCTAAAAATTCAGGAGACTGGGACACATCTAGGGTGTGCGTGATTATAAATATCTCACATTTTCTCAAGTTTCTGGTGGGAACTTCATGTGTGTCCCCATGTTGTGCTGTGCACCATCGAATGAAATGGCTCCACACTGTCTTTAGGACAGTGGAAGAGCTCGGCCTTTCCTAGCAGCTGGCCAGGAGATGGATTTGTCTCATTTGTTGTATAGTCAGTCAGTGCCGTGAATGCCTAATTGGGGCTGGCTTTGGCAGTGGGCCAGGGGCCACCTTCAGCTGTGTTTACTTAAGTTAACCTTTCAGTAGGTTCTGAACACAGGTCCACATGCCTTAGTTATCCCCTCTACCTTTGAAGTTCCCTTGAAGGTAGGAGCTGAGAAGATAAAAGAGCCCTCTATCCTTTGGGGGCACACAAGGGCTGTGCTTGGTCCCCTAAGCAGTCCCTGGACTGAGGTCAGGGTGCATGCTCCCCGGGGGTTCCTGGGTCTGTGCTTCGCTTTCCTTTACTCTTTCCCTGAAACCTTGCAGGTTCCTCCGGCCTCCAGCCCATGCTACCTCCCCTCACTGTTCTCATGTGATTTCATTCCCACAGGTGGATTTTTAGTACTGGCTACATGCAGTCACCTCTCTGAGGCGCTTTTTCCAAACTCTTAAGACAAACGTGACATCTGAACCTTGTTTCATTTTGTTCCCCACCCTAGAAGTCTCTTCCTCCTCCTGAGCCCCACTTCTCAGGAGATCATAGTTCATCCAGAAACTTGGTACTCCTCAGCCTGCGGCTCCCCACCCAGTCCATCCCCACATTCTGGTGATTCTGCATCCCAGTTACCCCTTGAGTTTTTACATTTCACCCCATCTCTGTCCTGCCAAAGCCCTAGTGGATCTCCCCACTGCTCTTGCCGAGCCCCTTCCAGTTGTTCTAGAGAAGGATGCTCAAGGGCTCATACCACCTTCCAGCTCAGTCTCAGGGCTGGGACACAACCCTACCCCTCGCTTAGTGGTTTCCAGCATGTTCTTTAGGTGTTGGCTTGGGTGGCACTTCCTCTGGGAGGCCATCCTAGTGCATCAAGATAGAGTCCTCCATTAGGTGCCGTGCTCCCTTATAGATTCTTGATGACGCCTCCAATAATAGTAATTATGTGGTTATTTCTGACACAAGCTTAGTTCTTCCCCGTTCCCCTAGACCCCTGTCTGTCTTGCTCTCTGTGGTATGCCCACCATGACACAGGCCCTGGCCGAGGGTAGGTACTTGTTAGATATTTTCTGATTTGATCCTTTTTGTCAACAGGACAAATCGATGGCCAGGAGATCACTGCCACAGCTGTGCTGGCCCCCTGGCCTAGGCCGCCCCCAAGGCGTTTCAGCCCTCCCAGGAGAATGCTGCCACCACCTCCCATGTGGCGCCGATCACCCCCACGGATGAGGAGAAGGTGAGTCGATTTGGGGTCTCATGGAGGACTGATTAGGGGCAGTTTGGGTTTGTTTTATTTACAATACAAAGTGGCAACATGATTTCGGGACCTTATTTGTCCTGCTGATGTATGTTCCTCTCCTAACCCCCACCCCATGCTTCGTGCCTCATGATGGGAGTGGGAACGTGGTGTTGGTACAGGTGGCCTTCGGAGTGCATTGTGTTCTTCCAGCTGGGGAAGGGAAGAGAAGGGCAACTACTGGAGTGAGGGATAGGCAGAAGAGGCACCTGCAGGCTGCACGAGTATTCCCAGGAGACTCCGGGTCCTGTATGACTAGGGGCAGGCCCCTCTCCCCCTCCTAGCTGAGAAAATGGGTCAGGGCAGGGAGGTGGGGTGGCTAATTCACTTGGAGAGGCAGCGTTTGGCTGGCCTCTGCTAGTGGTGTCAAACTGCTCTTTCCATAGCCCTCAGAAAAGGGGAGGGAGCCTGGGGTTGTGCCTTTGGTCTCCAGAACATCTATTTCCTTCTTAAGGGCTCCGTGTCAGCATCTCCAAAGGGCGCTGTCCTGACTTGGAGTCCTGAGACGTGAAGCTTTAAGAATTGTTCCTGAAAGAAGCCAGCTTTTCCCCTGCAGTCCGCGATGCAGAGCTGCATGTGTGGCATTTGCTTCTGTGTCTGATGTGACTTCTCCTCTTCCCACAGGTCACGTTCCCCGCGGCGCAGGTCCCCCGTGCGCCGGCGCTCTCGCTCCCCCGGCCGCCGCCGCCACAGGAGCCGTTCCAGCTCCAACTCCTCCCGATAAGCAGGGCCACCGAAGCTCTGCCCCCTGTAACTTATATCCTCTCTAACACAGTTTTGTCACTTTTCTAGCCGAAGGAGGGTCGGTAGGAAAGAAATCCCTCACTCAGGGGCAGGCTTCAAAGGCAACAATTGAGACATTTCCCCTGAAGGCCAAGTTCCAGCTGCAGAAGTGTTGTTGGTTTGGGGTTGTGCCTATAAAGATGCCCTCCAGTTTTCTGGCTAGAAAGCTCCCACGTTTCCAGTCCCTGAGAGAGTCAGTTCACTGGCAAAGCCAGCAGGGACGAGCAGGGCTCCAGGAGGCAGCGTGGCCCGGGTCTGGGAGTATGTTTTTCCATTCCACAGACGACCTGGAGCTGTCTCGTGGCCTGCGGGATCCTTCAGGAAAGGGTGGTCTTCATGCAGCTGCTGTTCCTGTTAGCCTGGCCCTGCTCCCCTGCTTGAGTCCTCTCTGACCTCCAGGGTCAAACGCCCCATGGTTGTTCCCGTAAATGGTTCTGTTTTTACATGTCCTCATACACACGCACACACCCCCGTCTCCTTTTCTCTGAAATGGTGAACAAGCTGAGAGCCAGCTCTGCAGGGTCATCACAGACCCCTTGTTGTGGCTCTTATTCATGGTAGTCTTGCAGGTTACCTTGGCAAGGTGTACATTGCTTTTTTGGCTTTTATTGTACAGTCGTACTATAAATTTTCTGTTTTGAGTTTTGTAACTTTGTAGCATTTTAGATAATGTTGTGTTTGTACTTCGTTGTGTAAAATGAAAGGACTGTGTCAAATAAACCTAGGATTGGACTGCAAATTGAGTGGTGGGTTTGCTGCCTCCTTCCTGTCCCTTGGGCCTAAAGAAAGCTTCAGTTGTCAGAGGATTAAAACACATGACTGCCTAAGAACTGGATTTTGATTTTATTTCCAAAGTCACCCCTCCAAAATCTGTCAACCAGGAGAACACCAGTCAGCTCCGTGGGTGTTGGGTTGCTCCTGTGGGTCAACAGATCAGAGAAAGGGGTGTTTCATCATCTCGTGTTCCCAGGAGCTTCAAATTCCAGCTGACCAAAAACATGAGTCTCATGCTGCTGCACTGACAGGTAACTGGAAAAACTATTTTTCCACCTCAGAAATTGGTTTGTGCCACAAGGAAGATTTGGACGCACTCGTAATGAACAAAAGTTTCCATTGCCCAAAACTGCTTGGCCCTCAGCAGTGTCCAGCGTTCAAATCGAATGGGCAGAAGCCGACTGTGTGCTGCTGGGCAGTTTGAAGACTGGCTGCCTCCCTCAGCCTCGTTCCCCCTGCCTGGCAGGCCACCACCTTTGTTCTTGGATATCTTTTCAGTGGTGATCCATGCAGGATCAAGCAAATAAAAAAGTCTCCTGTCCCTTTCTTGCCAAGGAGGTGAGGTGGCACTGCAGTCCTGCCAGTAGTATGAGGGTGCCTGCGTGCACACTGCCCAGCTGTCTACACTTGCCATTCTGAAGGGGGAGGTGGCTGGTCTGTCCTCAGCCACCAGGCTGTGCTGCCCCCACTCTAAACTACCAACTTTGATTCCTCTTATCCCTGAGGGCAGGATGCAGAGCCCGCACTTGAGGCAGCCCTGTCCCCCACTGGCGCCCCCTCGAGCATCCTTTTTGGTACCTGCGTCTGCAGGGTGGAAGGGTTTGAGAAACGGGCCCTGGTGTGATCTGGTTACCTTCGTTACTCGGTGCTCTGGTAGCTGAGTCTGAGCAAGGAGTTTGCCAGGTTCCCCAAAGTGCCTAATTACCACTTGAGCCCAGAGCCTCCTCTGAGACTCAAATGTACTGTGACTTATGTGCAGTCACCCCCCGTCTCAACACTCTGCTACCTGGGTGACTTGATCTTTCTCTACTTGGTGGATAGCATGCCAGCCTCCCATGGGGACAGCTGTGGGTGGAGGCAGGAAGGACGGCGTCCGTCCTGCGGGGTTTGTCCAGGACCTCTCCTGGACAGGGACCCACACCAGGCCTCCCGACCTGGCAACCCTCCACCCTGCAGCCCCAGTGTCCTGCTCAGTAAGGCCGGCGGCTCTGCCGCCTCGGGCCTCCCGACTGTGGCCTCGGCTGGCCCGGCGCTCATTGCACCCGGAAGCCAAGCGGGGTCGGGCTGCTCCGCCCCCGGCCTCCAGGGGGAGTGGCCTGAGGCCTCGTGGGGCGGGGAGGTTTGCGTCGGGTGGACGTGATGGAGGCACGGAGGGGGAGCGGGGGCGGGGGCTGAGTGCACTGGGCCCGGACTGGAGTGGACGGGGCCGGAGGTGGGGCCAGCAGGGGGCGGGTACCGGCCCCGCGCCGCCCCGGGAGGTAAAACCACAGCCCGGGGCCCCGATTCCGAACCAGCCGGGTCAAGATGGCGCTGGCAAGTGGGATGCGGCTCTCGGCGCGCGCCCTGCTCCGCCCGTGTACGTGACCTCCGGTGGGCGGGGGTCGCGGCGGCGGGCGGGGCCGGGCGGCGGGTTAACGGGCCTCGCGCTGTCGTCCGCAGGGAGCCCGCTCCGGGGCAAGGCCCTCGGGTGCACGGAGCCTGCGGCCGGCGGCGGGAACGGCGCGCGGCTCTTCGGGAGCCAGCGGGTGCTGGTGGAGCCGGACCCGGCCGCAGGTAGGCGCCCCCGACGTCCCTCGCCCCTCGGGTGGGCCACTCCGTGCCGCGCGCACGGGGTCAGAGGTTCGGGCTACGGTGCCGCCGCCTGGCCGCCTGAGTCACCGCGCGGGCTTGCTAACGGCGCCCGCTGCGCAGGGGAGAGGCGGCGGAGCCCGCGCCGGGGCTGCCTCGATTTGTTATTCCCCCAACTCTGAGTCCAGACCTGGAATTCGGATTCATGTGAAAGCTATTGAGGGGCCGGCCCTGGGGCCGAGTAGTTAAGTTCGCGCGCTCCCTTCGGGGGCCCACAGTTTCGCCGGTTCGGATCCTGGGCGCGGACATGGCACCGCTCATCAAGCCATGCTGAGGCGGCGTCCCACATGCCACAACTAGAAGGACCCACAGCTAAGATATGCAACTATGTACTGGGGGGCTTTGGGGAGAAAAAGCAGAAAAAAAACCTCTTGAATTTCTAAAGGCCACAAGATAAAGCTCAAGTTTAAAGTCAGGTTCTGTTGAGTTTAGAGCTTAAGGGTCATCAATCTAGGTGGTTTAAATGGGTTTTTTCCTCCCCCAGTTCATTATGAAGATAAAACAGTTTCTGTTTTTAAAGTTTGGGGGATGTGCTCCTTTATCTAAGCTATTAATTGGAAATTGAAAATAATTGGAAGTATTTCGGAATAAAATATTTTAGCTTCTCTTAATACTCCCACATGACACAGAACCCAGCAGATGTTTTACTAATTAAAGCCAGGAGCTGCAAGTGGAATCACTCCTGACGCCCTCCCCCGCCCCCCATCAGAGCACCTCTTACAACTCTCCACAGGGATACAAAAGGTGGAAAAACCTCAGAAAGAGAAACCTGTGCTTTCTCTACCACAGAGCACTCCAGAGCTGCGTCCTGACAGGGCTTGGGGGCAGAGATGGGTAAAGTTTGGGATTTGGGGACATGCTGTTCTATGACCTCCCAGCTCCAGGCCTCAACCTTTTTCAAGTGGTTTGGACAGAAGCCCTCCTCCCCCGCAAATCCCCCTGCAGCCTTGGCTCTGGAGCTGGTGCAAGGCACCGTCCCCCTTGGTTCAGTGCTCTTGTTTAGTTCCTTGCTAGGTTGGGGCTGCCTGAGCCAAGTAGTGAGGGGCCTCAGGGGAGGCCCAACTACCAGTCCAACCAAAACCTGAGTTTCTGAAAGGATCGTTTCTGTGGCAGATTTGAATATGTATCAGAAATTGCAAAACACATATTTAAAAATATTGGACTGGATAGTGGTGATGGTTGCACAACATTGTGACTATACTTAAAACCACCAGATTATACACTTAAAAATGGTTTAAATGGTAAATTTTATGAAACAAGGAAGACAGAAAAGTATCAGTGAGATAGCAGTTTTTTTACCAAAGTGCTCTCCCACAACACCACGCAGGCAGAGCGTAGTAGAGAGTTTGGGGTCAAGGAAGCCAGGCCTGGTTCTGTCCTCGCTGCCACACACAGTCAGCCTTCAGGCAGCTTGAGGCTTAGATGAAGTCATGCAGCAGAAGTACTTTAAAAAGGTTTTCAGGGGCCGGCCCCGTGGCCGAGTGGTTAAGGTCACGCACTCCTTTTGGCAGCCCAGGTTTTGCCGGTTTGGATCCTGGGCGTGGACCTGGCACCGCTCATCAGGCCATGCTGAGGTGGCGTCCCACATAGACCACCAGAAGGACCTACAACTAGAATATACAACTATATATACTTGGGGGTTGGGGGAGAAGAAAAAGAAGAAGGAAAAAAAAAGAAGATTGGCAGCAGATGTTACCTCAGGTGCCAGTCTTTAAAAAAAAAATGTTTTCATCTAAGTGCTGTTACTGAAGCTGATCTTAGATTCTGTTCAACATTCCATTAGAGAAATGTTTGTTTAGGGGCCGGCCCAGTGGCGCAGCAGTTAAGTTCGCACGTTCCGTTTCGGGGGCGTGGGTTCACTGGTTCACATCCCAGGAGCGGACATGACACCTCTTGGCAAACCATGCTGTCGCGGGCATCCCACATATAAAGTAGAGGAAGATGGGCGTGGATGTTAGCTCAGGGCGTCTTCCTCAGCAAAAAGAGGAGGATTGGCAGCAGATGTTAGCTCAGGGCTAATCTTCCTCAAAAAAAAAAGAAAAGAAAGGAACGTTTATTTAGTACCTACCCTGTGCCAAAGATGTGGTTACTTAACTCACAATGTCCAAGTTCATCCAAATTCCTCTTTGTTGACTTGTGTTCACCTTTGGTCTCTTTACTTTTGCCCCAGTGTCCTCAATTCTGTCTCACCAGGCTCTGAAAAAGTCAAGTTAGCTTCAGAAACTTCCCTTTGAACCAAGTTTGGGGAGCTCGCTTCTGGAAGTTTTGATTGCTTCTTATATGTACATACTTGTAGCCAGTTAGCAATTACCTCTTCTTCATAAATGAGAGGTATCAAAAGAGCCCACTTGGGGCCTGGCCCCGTGGCTGAGTGGTTGGGTTCGCGCGCTCCGCTGCAGGCAGCCCAGTGTTTTGTTGGTTCGAATCCTGGGCGCGGACATGGCACTGCTCATCAGGCCACGCTGAGGCAGCGTCCCACATGCCACAACTAGAAGGACCCACAACGAAGAATATACAACTATGTACCGGGGGGCTTTGGGGAGAAAAAAGAAAAAAAATAAAGTCTTTAAAAAAAAAAAAAAAGAAGAAGAAGAAGGGCCCATTTGCCCTCAGCACTTAGTTCTCCTAGGGAATGGTCTGTGTTGACCATCCCAAGATTTCCAAGGTCCTGAATGAACCTTGGCGCTTCTGAAGCCCTTAGGGTCTGCACTTGGGCGGGCAGTGAGAACAGAAGGCCCAGGCCAGCAGCTGCGCTGCCTACAAGGGCAGGCCCATCCCGCCTGCCTCCCCTGCTGCTGGCAGAATGAAGGAATGGGTCATGGAGAGTCTAAGGACATCTGACCCTGATATTTTTAGTCTCTATCCTTGAACAGGCATGAACCAGAGCGCCCCTCTAGAGTTCCTTCTTGCATATCTAGTTCCTAGAGTTTGCTCACTCACTCCTCAAGAAACTAAGGCCTTTTCCTACTCCCATGAGGATGGAGGACTTGTGTCTGGAAGAAAAAGATCAACAAAAATTTGTACACGAGTTCACAGCAGCATTATTCACAATAGCCAAAAGGTGGAACCAACCCAAGTGTTCACCAGCACATGAATGGATAAACAAAATGTGATATCCACA